TGCACGGTGTACACAACACACTTCCTTGCAAGATCCGTGCATTACTCTTGATTTAACAGTAATAAAAATCCCAAGTATTCTCTTAAAACGCTTGGTGTAATCATCTTACCTTCGAGGTCATTGGTTACTGGGTCACGATTCTATGGAATACAATTACTGCTTATTGCTGAGCGACGATTCGACTTTTGGCTTATCAAGACCAGGTTGAAAGGTCAATCAGTAAATAATAAGCAGTAGTTGTTGTATTCCATCTATGTGACCTGTATATTAATTGGTCTAGACGGTGTTTAGGGCGGGAAGGCTTCTAGTTTGAAGGCACTAAATCGCTAATATTTGCGACCTAGAAATTGACACAAATGGGTCGTAACGCATATAATAATTTAATATGAATGTATTTCTTACAGACCCTCAAAAATCTGTAGCATTCTATAGAATTTCAATCAGATTAAAACACGGATCCTATTTCGTTTCGTTTTTTTTTTTTTTATATATAGTTCAAAATTTCGTTTTACTTATCTTTACTACACTGTAAGCTCTGGAAGAGTTGTTATATTACCGGCGTTTTGGTTGAAGTGAGGGATAGGTCAATGAAACGGTCTGCGCGACTTCATGGCGTGCCATGCACGGAACTGTGGGTAAACCACTAGAAACATCAATTAACGCTGATTGATTAATCAATGTCTGACGTCATATGGTCAAAAGCCGCTCGTATGACCCCTGACACGACCTTCGAGTACAGCTTGTCAGATAATCAGATTGATAGAATTTCATCCTGGTTTGTTCGCTTTACCCGTTTGTCCTAAAAATTGATGAAACGTAATGATCACACAATGCAAAAAGTCATGAGATTTCGTGCTTTTTTTTGCCCATCTGCCCGAAAAAACCCGATTGCCTGAATCTTTGCGAAATTATCAAAATATCAACGTGACAGAGAAGGGTCTGACTAACAACTCTACGTTCGTGCGATATATTAGGCCTATATACGTGCATTGTCGGACTGAGCATACACCTGTGTCTTCGGACCAACTGGTGCCCTTGATCCAATTTTCCATGGCGCTGAAAACCCCGTGACATGGCGAGTTTGATTCATCTGTTCATAGATTATTTTTCTACTCGGATTTAGGCCATTAATCCAATTATAGTTTTCAGTGGATGCGAAGATGAATTTTTTTTAGCTTGAAAACGTGGGCTACATGTCAAATTTTTACTTTCGGATTGGGGTCGATGTAGGGCCGGTGTGGCAGTTTCAGATGGTTCCTGGTGTGTGATTACCGTTTGGCGCATGCGCAGTTGTAGGAGTCAACTCACACCGTTACAGTCGCGGTGTGCACTGACTCCTCGTGATAGGATTTCCCCTAAGATATTCTTACGGTCAAATCAATATATAGACTATTATGTACCGATATTTACAGTAGGCCTATTACCACCACGAGAGGATGCAAATTGACGATCTTTATTATTATTATTTAGTATATATAATTATATACCCGTCCACAATGCGAACATTCTCTCTTGTATTTGGGCTATCTACATACATGCATGTTTGAATGTATGGGATGGTATAATAAATCTATATTTATGTTAAAGAAAACGTTAATGAACTCCATACTTTTATATTTGTGATAAATGAAGCCAATCATCAATTTGTATGGTTTCCACTGATCGTACGTGTGTAGAACGACTAATCACTAAAAAAAACCAACGGCAACAAATCACGAACGATAGAAGTATCAATTTCAAGCCAATCAACTTAGATCCGTTGATCGTGTAACTACTCATCACTAAAACAACAGCTAATCACGATAACAAGTATGTTTATTAATGACAAAACTCTAATCAAGTACATGATATACTTTTTCCTGTACTGACCAGGAACCAACTCGCACCGCAGGAAGTAGATATAGTTTCGTTGTTAAGGCAAACATCAGTTTCGGACATGCGCAAGTGCCCAGGAGAAAACACACACCAGGAGTCAACTCAAACTATCACACCGGCCTACCCGTGACTCCGCCGGTCTGAGACCCTTGTCAGCTCATGTATTTCCCTTTAGGAGAATTATACAAATAAATCATTAATATTTTAATGAAATCGGGGAGGGTGGGGGGATGGTAAGCACGACGTGCGTTCTATATCATAAGGTCGGTCATTGAGTCAACTGGCGTGGTTTCGAATCCCCGGTTGTGTAGGCTAGACCGTACCTGACAAGACGAAGAAGTAGGGTCGCCTGTCCAACCTCGTGGGTTTTCTTCGGATCCTCCAGTCTCCTCCCACTGACCTAGTTTGTTTCGAGTGGACGTTAAACCCATTTCTCTCACTGAAATCGGGGAAGAAAATATACTGGATAGTCTAAGGGAGATAACTCTATTTTTTAAAATAGAGTTGTCCCCCTTAGACCGTCCGGTATATTTTATTATTCGGCCACAGATCACTAATGATTTCCCCATTGACTTTAATGTTAATTTTCGTCTCTTAGACCGACTCTAACTTTTTCCCAAATTTTCGTTGGATAGAACGCTTTCTACCACAGATGGAGCAACAGTGGCAACCTCTTGCACAAAAGCACGTATGAGGTTCACCATAGAAAACTTGAGATACACAAGCTGGAAGTAGAGATAAAAAAAAACCATGCAATTTTTGACCCTACATTTCAACCTAACCAACCAACCTCTCAACTCTTGTATCCTTCCGCCTCAAAATCATGAATATTCACCAAAACCTGGCAGAAATTATATTTTCAAACCCTTTTCTTCGATTCTACACCAGGGGGGGGGGGAGGGAAAAGGGAGAGAAAGACTAAAAATTATATTTGGTGAGCTGTGTCCATTCAATCGACGATTAAAGGTAAATAACTCCATTTGATTTAGACCTTCACCTTTAGGATGCATTCTTTTAATAAATTTAGACAGCCACGAATCCAAAGTGGTCGGAAGAAAATACACATCTATGTTTATGTTAGCCCTTTGAGAAGCGCTATTGATAGTACGGAGATAAATATTACAAAATTAAAATCAGTACTACTGGAAACCTGTCCTAATTTCCCTTGCAACCCTATGGAAACAAGTCAAAGTCCAATATAGGCTAATATTTATCACAATAAAACGACCCTGAACCGACGGCCTTCAACTTTCCAGTCTTCGAAAACATAAAATGTCAAATCGACTATGTCCCCGTTTCCTGCGATTAGGATACCACTTCGTATGTATTTTTTGAAAGAAAGGGATTATATCAAAGTACATAGTGTCTGGCTTTTATAAACTGACACCATCTAGTACAGTTCTATGCTGACACAACTTGGAATATTACCATAGTTAATTATTGTTAGATACTTTTACTTTAGTGTCTGTAGTCTCGATTAACACATCTGCCAATAGCTTTTCGATTTTTGTCAACTAACTAAGGATTAAACAACGACGTCTATACTAACGTTAGTATAGACGTCATTGGCATTGAAGACTTAGGGCCAATACGTACGTCATTTGTATTTTTCGAAAATATCAAATAATCTATGTTAAAATATACTGAAATTTATTATTGAACATTTAGTTAAAGTCTGTGGCTATCAACTGAGCAATTTTGAATTCCTTAGGCTACAAAATAGAAATGAAATGGGGTTTAACGTCCTACTAAAATATAATACTCATCTTGATCTCAATCCAAAAATGGTTCATTGTTTGGCGTCCACAGCAGACAATTGTTTTGACAATATAATTCAAGTGGCACCAATAATTATCACTGAAATCTTTGATGATCTTCTTTTTAAAGCGGAAATTTCAAATTTTTAAGTTATATTTTTAAAATTTATTAAAATAAAGCCTTAAAATAGATGGTATCCATAAACAGTCCTACCTTGTTAAAGAATAATCCTATTAATTCTATAATTCACTATTGCCAGCTGAGAAATTGGCAAAAATATCATTTTCAACTTCAAATTCCAACCATTAACACCACCTTTCGACGACATGGAGATCACTCTGGGCTACAGTTGGATACCAATAACTCAAAATGTTGAAAAGGTGACTTGGGCACTTGTGTTATGACCATAAGTGATCTGAGCGTGACATATATTATCAGCTTCCGTCTGCGCGCAAGCGAATTCTTGCAATAAAAATATACCATATCATGTCAGTTCCGAAATGACCTTTACCTGCTTTTAGGATCGCTTTCTCAGGGAATAATATAATTCAAACGTATCTATCTTAGTTTGTGGCGTTGAAATAATATGTAACTGCTACTTTTCAGACTACTAAATACAGAAGAACCTTTAACTGTAATGGTGAAGATGGATATCATCAAAAGGTACCGTTTCAACCTTTGTTATCTTTGAAAGATGGGGATCTTACCAAATCGAAACTATTTATTATGGTGGTGACGAAATTCATAACGCAGGGCATGTGCACACACATATTTATACAAGTGCGTTTTCCAATTTTTGGTTCCATACATTTCAAATCATGAGAGACCGTATTGCAAAAATAAAAGTTAGAACACAGTCCCTTAATCAAATACGAACATGGATATCGGTTATTTATTTGGAAATGACACTTTCTTTTAATACTGACAAGGACAGCTGTCTAGTCGTTTGGATGGGACGAAAAACCGAGGTCCCGTGTACACATTGGCGTGCACGTAAAAGATCCCTTGGCAGTTGGAATTCGATATAAGAGTAGGCGATAGTGCCGCTGCCCGGGCAAAATTTCCCCCATAGCACACTGTATGGTGTATGCCCGTTTTCATTAGCCCAGGTTAGGAGCAAAACAGTAGGACGTTAAACCCCATTTCATTTCATTTTCATTTAATTTGCTGATTACACTATTTAGCTCGAATACATTATTTTGCCAATAACGTTTTTTAGGACTTCGAATTCTGTCTTATGGTTTGGATTGTTCGTACTTGGTTTTATTTTATTTTTTACCTTTCAAGTTACATGGGTGAGAACATCAAATCAGTCTGGCATTATTTTGTTTCAAATTCACTTAATGTTGTAAATATTGTTTTCTTCCAGATTTGTGGTTGGTTTATGTGGATGTTCTGTTTCATTTGATTCTTCTTTACGAGCTAGATGTCGACTTAACACACCATATGAATGTAAGATACTAAATATACAACTTCTGATAAAATACTTTGTACCTTTAAAAAAGGGTTATATGTTGGTATGCCCAAATCTAAAGATTAGCTTGTCTTGAGAGTTTTCAGATTATCTTCGACAGTCATGACTCGGCGTAATTACGAAACTCATGACATATCGCCAGTATAAGATATCCTTTCTATTTTCTGCAAGTTAATCAAAAATAGATTTATTGATAATCACACATGAAAATTACGCGTTTACATTACCTAGAAAAGTCACCAAAGCTTCCAATAGTTGGGGGAAATTAACATTTTCAGTAGTCTCATACTTCTTCAAATTATTTCAGTTTTCTGCCAAAGAAGTTTGAATTATCTGCAAAAGTAAAACCAGCTTGAATGTAAAAGTCCAAAACGATGCAGGTAAATTATATTGAATATTTCACTTTTATTTGTACTTTGCTGAAAATTTCAGCCAAATTGATCCACCCTGATCCGAGATTTTAGCGATTGAATTTTCGGCCTAGCCTCGATCATCATTAAAAGTTGGTATTATAAAAACATAGTTTCGGTTAGCCATTTCATGATTAAATCATAATTGAAAGTTGAGCAGCAAATCTGATCGTAATCCAGTAAATATTGCTGGCTAGCGTTAACATCGAGAGTTGATTATGGCCGGGATAAGTTAAATAATGTCTAATCAATACTTTAGATAACATTTCAGGCCAAAAGAAAGATCCGCAATAGGCAGATTTAGCTCTTGCATATAATGTATGTTTAATTAACATAATAATTTATCAACTTCCCGATTGGACCAAAATCACTCGAAACTCGACAACATTTCATCTCAAATGACAACGATATAAATGGTAAATTACATTTTTACAATTGCATTCTTTAATTTTGTTTTTACAGCGAAACGCATTATCATATTGACGATTCAACAGGAAAATGGCCGTCTCAGTTTCACTCTGTAAGTAGTTGGTTATACATTGGTTCAAAAACTAACAGTGCTAAAATAATTTTATTATCGAAACGGAATTAACGGATTGCGATCTGCAAACCTGCAGCTTTCTAGACCAGATTAGTAATTAGACCGTTAACGTTTTTATGCCTGAAAAAGAGACGAAACTTGAAACACTCATATCATTACACTTATGAAATTATGAAAATTCATTAATTTAATTTGAAACATTACAGATTCACGTTGAAAGAAGTTTGGCCAGCAAAGGAATAACCAGGAATTCTGCACAGATCAAGTTAGTATTCTTCTGTAACTATACTTAGTCTCAGGACTTTTCATGGCTATTCTGATGATAGACTGTCATTAGCACAACTAACAGCAATGCAAAAGGGCCAAAATTCGGGAAAATCATACTTTGACAGACACAAACGAAAGATTTGTCAGACTATAAATCTGATCTGAATTCAAAGATCAATCTTTTGATTTTGGTGGTGCATGAAATCGCATTGTACCCAACTTTATACCTTGAATGACGTGTAATATGTGTTCCTATCTGGTCATTTATTATATTTTCTATAAGGTTGTACCTTTTGAAATAGGATCATACAGGGTATTTTTGATAGCGGGCTTCCCAGTAGTCCTGTAAGTGAAAACTGTATTTTCATACGCCCACATTTTCATGTCGTCGCCCCTTTCAGTCCGTCGCGCCTTTCAGTCCGTCTGTCCGTCCACAGTGTGTTTGTGGACACTCTACAGGTCACAATTCTTATCCGATTTTAGCGAAACTTGAAATAAAGGTTTATCTCCAAAGGATCTCGGTTGCTTTCGATATTGGCATGTATCGGATCGAAACTTCATAGATTATGACCCCTGATTCTACGAAAAATGACGTTTTTAGCTTGTGGACACCGTAGAGGTCACAATTTTAATCTGATTTTGATGAAACTTGAAATGCATGTTTATAACCCAAAGATCTTGGTTCCTTTCGATATTTGCGCATATTGGATCGTCACTTCCTGAATTATGGCCCCTGATTGTACAAAAATCGCGTTTCTAGCTTGTGGTCCCTCTAGAGGTCACAATTATAATCCGGTTTAAAAAAAAAACGTTTGAATATATCACCGTTACACCGTAATGATGGTTGAGTTCATTGTACAAAATTCAGAGGTCACAATTTTTATCCGATTTAAAAAAAAACGTGTGAATATATCACTGTTACACACAAAGATCTTGGTTCCTTTTGATAATCGCGCATATCCGAACGTAACTTCCTGGAGTATGTCCCCTGATTGTTCGAAAAATCGCATTTTTAGCTTGCGGATTCTCTAGAGGTCACAGTTCTTTTTCCGATTTTAAAAACCGTTTAAATATATCACCATTCCACCATAATGAAGGTTGAATCCGAATTTCGGGAAAATTGAAATGAAACAGCACAACAAAATGGCCGCTCTTTGATGAAACTTGAAATGTATGTTCATAACTCAAAGATCTCGGTTCCTTTCGATATTCGCGCATATCTTCCTGGATATGTCTCCTGATTGTACAAAAAATCACATCTCTTGCAAAATGTGGGCGTATCTTGCATGGCAACCGCTTGTTAATGAATATAAATAATTTAGTTACTACTATTATGAGATTATATACTCATCACAATGTCACATAATCCTTTTTTTATAGGGACACAATGGTAAAAGTAGACATTGATACACGTAAATTTCATCAGAAAGAATATACTGAAATCTACGATATTAACGTAAGTCGAATCACTATTACATAGACATTTCTTATATTCAACATTGGCATATTCAAGGCTCAATATTCCAGATATACATGTACATGAACATTGATGTATTCAAGGCACAATTCCAGAATATAAAGCAAAGACCTTCAGACAAAACACAATTAAAAAAAATCAACCTTATCAAAAAGCATATTTGTTCAATAACGTAAATTATGACGATTTAAAGTTGACATTAATGTGTACTGATTTCACGGACCATCTTTGATTTACCCATCTTTTCCCCGGACAAAGCCAAATTGTCAAGAACATCTCTCTGTCCTTCTTACTTAACCTTTTACCACATTGACTCTTTTAACTACATGTACTTTTGTGTGGTATTTGCTGAGTAGCATGTTGATCCACGCACGGGTAAAATCTGACCATGGACCTTATAATACGCCCATGATCTGACAATTGACAGCTATAAATGACAATTACTGTAATTCATTTCACTTCTTGAAGTTGTATTTTTTTTCAGTGGTTAGATTTATTATGGAAAGTTGGAGGTTTATCAGCTATTTTAATTGGAATGTCGGTAATTACAGTACTAGAGATAATCTGGTTAATAGGAAGATGTTTCGTTTCATGTTGTACAGCAATAAGGTAATTTATATATAGAAGATGAAAACTTTTGGTACCGATTGATGGCTTGTGCATTGGTAATGTGCTTTTTTAAATCACGGCATAATGGTGGCTGAATGGTCAAATGGGGCACTTTACATGGTAAGGTCTGTCATTGAATCAAGTGACGTAGTTTCGATCTCACATTTGTACGTTACAAAAAGTAGAATCGATTGCCTAACCTCGTGAGTTTTCTTCGGGTCCTCCGGACCCCCTCCCCCGCCTGTCTTAGAACTCTACGCACAAGCGAATTATTGAAATAATTGTGTCCCGAGTATTGGGTGAACCTTAAACTTCGTATACTAAGAAAGAGAAACTTTTTTTTCTGATGTTATCCTGCACAGTTTGACACTATTTTGTTAGTTAAAGTAGCAAAGTCTCTAACTCAATATCATCCAAAATCTTCAACATTGAAAACACGATTTATTTGTCAAATTAAATCAAAATTCATGTTGTGATCTTACCGGAAAAAGATGGGCTTTTGATATCCAATATTTAAGACAAAATAAACATTTTACCATTGGTACACGATAATGCGCTTCAGCCCCAGTGGTATCAAGAGACTCGAGGGAAGAGGCTAGACACATTGCACCAAATCAAACGGCGTATGTAGACTGGAATAACCAGACGCTAGAAATTTGCACTCGCTTGAGACTGCTGGCTTATTTCGCCGAACATAACTGATTTGAAATTGGAGTAAAAACGGAAACCATTGAATGTAAATTAGTTTATATACATTCATATTACAGTATTATATGGGTTGCTACCCACTTTTCACTTTGTAAATTTCTAGGTCCCAAATGTTAGCGATTTAGCTCCTTTAAGTGCCATCATGTAGCAATATTTGGGTTCATTTTGTACACGAAAAGCTGGGGGGGGGGGGGGCTGAATGGTTAGCACGTGCGCACTGTATCATATTAAGGTCTGTCATTGAGTCAACTGGTGTGGTTTCGAATCCCCGGTTGTACGTAACAAGGAGTAGGGTCGCCTGTCCAACCTCGTGGGTTCTGTCCGGGTCCCCCCACTGCTAGAGACCCCTACGCGCAAGCGAATTATTGAAATAAAATTGAACCATGTGTTAGTCCCGAAATGTCCTGGTTTGTGTCTAGTGGACGTTAACCCCCCCCCCTCTCTCTTTCCCTCTCTCTCTCTCACACACACTCTGATCTCTCTCTCTCCCCTCCCCCTCTCTCTATCTCTCTCTCTCTCTCTCTCTCTCTCTCTCACAAAAAGCGTTCTTCCGTCGTTTTCAAACGATTATCCCCAAATAGATGAAGATTTATCGAATAGGCTTATACATATATGCCTTTTCATTTGGTACGTTTATATAGCATAAATATATATTAATAATGTGTTAATGGATTTTCGTACTTCTTAAATACCCATGGACGTCTACATTTGATATACGTGAATGTTTCAGTAAACACTAAAAATCGTACAAAATAAATAATAATTTCTTGAAATATTTTAATATAGATTTGTATTTTTTCAGTAAAAACGATCCACACCATCTTAAAATACAGATAGAAGCAGAGACTCGGTCAACCTGGACAAACAATCATCAACTTACACGTGAGACTAATAGACAAGAACCACCAGCCCTACCCCGACGACCGTCTCATCATCGGATGCCAAATATGCTGCGACCAATTATAGAAGAGGTTCCGCCAGTGACAAATCCGAATGTTTTAATAACCAACGATGATTACGATGACATTGATCACATTTATGCACAGGTCTGGGATCCGGCGTCTACAGCGCGATCTAATATTCTCCCGGACAACAACGTAAATGCCGTAACAAACCAACTCTCAAGAAAACGCAGTAATTACAATATCAAAGTTACAAATAAACCTGTTGCTGAGTGTAAGAGGAACTACTTTTTAAGAGTGGAAGGATCTGCTCCTCTAAATCATAATCGTGGTTCCATGGCACCTCACCTTCTACAGACATATTCCTCCCAGCAGACAAGATTGGTGACAGGGTCTAGACCAGGCATTTTCTACATGTAGAAATTATAACATTAATTTATAACCTAATTCCCGCCTTTTTGGGGGTTCTGCATTTATGAATTGATTGAATAGGTTCAAAAGAGATTTGTACACAAAATGAAACGAGACTGAACTTAAAAGTTTATGTCAATTTCCAAATCTTCCCAGCAGACAAGACTGGTGACAGGGTCTAGACCATACGTTTCCACATGTACAAATTATGACATAATTTATCTCTGCGAACATTTGCATATCACCCATTTACCGCCTTGGTTCTGCGAGATTAACTTTTAAAAAAGTTAATGTGAATTTGTCAAAGCATAATTATTGGGGATTAGAATTAACAGGGGTTTGGCTGTTTTAAATCTCTCAACTCAAGATATTCGTGTTTCAAAACCCTGATCTGTATAAATAATATTATATTATGAATATATATATTGTATTGTATTAGTGCTATTAATAGTATATTATGTAAATCGTTTCGGTTTCAAAATTATGCATCGCCGTCTTAATGAATTAATGAGGTAAACAAATAATGCCAGAATAGATCCCAAAGTCGGTCGCAAAATCAGTGCAGTCGGTCGTAAGATATGAGCAGTCGGTATCAAAATAAATGCTCACTGCACACGTCACTCTACTCACGCAAAGCTTTAGTATAAAATAACCTTGTCGACTTATCATGTTTGAAAAAAATGTTTTTCACCCCATCGCAAAAAAATAGTCGGTCTCAAAAAAAAAGTGCTCACGGCAGTCGGTCTCAGACTAAATGAATTAATGGGTTGTTTTCTGACCATCAGAATTCTGCAAAATCTCTCCCCAAAGTCCAGGGCATTTCAGAGACCAAGTAAGCGTCCCATTGAGGTAAAGTGCCCAGTCCTCAAAAATTAAAAGCTCAGTTACATATATCGGCGCTCAATTCCATTATGCCATCATTCTTCAACTCCTTCTCTGACTTTTACTATCTCATCACTATCATATTCACGGTTACAGTGAATCGCCCAGTTAGTAGTACCACTAGTGAGTGAGTCGTGGGTCGAAAGACTGTAGAATTGTTAGTTCTACTCTCACAAAACAGCCGACATTGACAGATAGGCCTCAAGGTTCTGTCCCATTTCTTATCCTCTCGTTAACGAGAATTTGGATCCATTTGCCATGACATTGACTAAAATTGTCAGGCCCAGTCCCAAAAATTAAAAGCTCGGTTACACATCTCAAATTTTTTCGCGCCTGCGGCGCTCGATTCCATTATAACATCATTCTTCCACTCCTCTGTTGTCTTATACTGTCTCAGCACTATCATATTCATTCACGGTTATACTGAACTGCCTAGTTATGTTAGTAGTACCACAGGCACTGGTGTGTGGGTCGTGGGGCGTCAGACTATACAAAAGTTCTGTCAACTCTTGCAAAACAGGCGGAATTGACAGAGGCAGATCTCGAGATTTTGTCTAATTGACTCACATTTCTGGCCCCCTCGTCCACAAGAATTTCTCCCAGCAATGACCTCAAATGCCAAGACATTGACTCAATTTTTCAAAATTTTCTCAGGTTGCTCAGTGTTATAGGCACAATCATATATGACATAAACTTTATGTCAACTTAAATAAAACTGCTTTCCAGCGAGACAACGATCGGCAAACAACTATAATTATACAATACAATCTATGTTCTACCGGGGCGCTTAATGTTATAGCCAGTATTTTGTTGACATTCATTGTGGGGTGGGATTGTGGCTGAGATGGCGCCCTAGATTCACTTCACATGGCCCCTACAAAACTCGCACCTGTGCTGCTCGGTTCCTGACTGCGTCACTCGTACTAGGGGTATGGGCATCAGTCGGTCGCATTTTCGCTAAACACCCCCCCCCCCCCCAAACAAAATCGTTATGTACGCCCCTGCCTACGATTTATCCAATAGTACTCTGCAGTACTACCCAATACCACCTAATACTACCAAATAACACCACCTACTTCCTCATTATTGTTAAAAACTGACAGAATACTACTATAAGTGGCGACCTTAAAATCATCTCGTAACGAGTTCATTATATCGTAATCACGAGTAGATTATATCGTAATTAAGAGTAGATTATATCGTTATTACAAGTATTTATAACTATGTTGTATTTATGAGGTAACATGTCGTAATTACAACATAATGATCTTCCGTACTCTCATTTCTTTTGTAGGATACACTTGGGACAGGAGCAAAGCCGAGTGAACTGACAAAGCTGATAAACAAAGTGCATCGTGATGGTATTCTATACACAGCTCCCACTATAAGGCTACTAAATATTCGGTCAGTATCTGTTAAAGGAGCTAAATCTATATTCTTTGGAACATAAAATGGACGAAAATGGGTATTAATGTAATATGAATGTACATAAACTGTTTTTGTCATTTCTAATAGTCTAATTGAATGGCAGTCGGTCGCGCCTGGTTAGTCTATTCTACATCAGAAGTATGGTTTGGCATTTCAATTAAGCTCTGATGTTTAACCTCGTTCAGCAAGACGCCTCATCACAAATCGGGCTCAAGAGCATAGATTACCGGCGTGTACTGGTTTTAAAATTATTCACTGGTGTCTTAAATATTTTGTATCAGGAGCCCATATTTTCACGTTAAGATAACAACATCACTATTGATTGTAATGTCAAAGACTCTCGATAAAATTAAGTTCGAACTTTATACGCTCTTTTATACAGTTTTTGTCGTCATTTATTGATATAGAGGGACTTTAATTGTGTCGTTCTGTGTCAAGTGCATAATTAAGAATAACACAGACGGAGAAAATGACTGTTTTGGAGAATAGCTTCCTTGTTGAAGATATATTGTAATTTAAAATGTACGCTTGAAAATGTATGTTGTACAAAGTGGGTGTCATTTTCATTAATACTAATAATGTATTCTTGATAAAGCGACCCACATTAAAGCGCTGTACAAACATAATTTAACTAGGTTATAATTAACTTCATGCCATTCCATTGAAACACCTCTTCGTTCGCGAAATAATAATTTATCGCCAAGGAACCATTTTATAATAGGCCTGAACTGGACTAATGAAGACGGGCATACACCATACAGTGTGCTATGAGGGAAATTTTGCCCGGACAGCGGCACTACGGCCTACACTTATATCGAATTCCAAGCGTCAAGGGATCTCTTACGTGCACGCCAATGTGTACACGGGACCCCGGTTATTCGTCCCATCCGAACGACTAGACAGCTGTCCTCCTTCCTGCATCACTGACAAGTGTGAACCACGCCGGAAAATCTGGATGAACTTTCTCGGCCTATGCAGGTATCGAACAGGCTAGCGAGCTAGCGTCTTACCCAGAGAAAATATCGAAAACTAAATTGTTTATCACGGTTAAACAAAAAATGTAAACAAAAGCAACATATAAACATACAAAACCAAAACGACAAGACAGGGTACGATTATTTTAAAATATGATTACCCAAAAATTTTCAATTAGAACCTATACTGCACTTTGCGATTAGAACAGCAAGAAAAAAGGGAGGGGGGGATCTATAACCCTTAAAGATACATTATGGGAGATTAGATAAAGAGCTGATAGTTCTCACTATAATAGTTAAAAACTAGATAATGTAAAGGGGGTTTGCTGAAAATTTCAGCAGGCCTTGCAGGTCTTTCCTTAGGCCTGAAATATTATCTAAATTATTAATTAGAGATTAAGTAATTATCTAGACCATAATCAACTCTCTATGTCATCGCTAGCCTGCGATATATATTGGATTATATGCAATGGATAATCGAGACTATGTTTTTTATCGTAAAGACTTTAGTAATGATAATCGACGCTAGACCGAAAATTCAATTTGACTGAAATTTTCAGCAAATTCCCTTTACATTATCTAGTTTTAAACTATCATAGTGAGAACTGCCAGCTCTTTATCTAATCTCCCATAATGTATCTTTAAGAGACTTTGCTTAGATTTCAATCGACAGACGATTACTTAATATATATAATATATATATCTCGTAATCAGAAATTCTTCAAAATAAATAACAAGATGTCTAAATAAAACATAAATGTAACATATTTCTCGGAAATCTAAAATTGTTGAACGGTCTCTTTATAGCACAATAATATACCTAAAAGCACAATTTCCTGTTCGTACTTGCTCTGGTGTTTTAATGCAACTACATTTATTGTTTTCTTTTAATTTTAGAATACTTTATGTATTGTGCAATTATAGTTTTTGCTATTAGTGACACTAATACACTGCATCTGAAGAAGAACCGCGTTTCGGTGAATGCAACTACCAATATGTTAGGAACCAACAAACACAGTGCATAGTTTAAGTCATTTTCTTTAGCTTTTATAATGATAGCTGTGACACCTCCTTTATTCCTTTCCAAGATTTACATATACAGGGACTTGTTTCAATGTCTTATAATAAGGATCAGCTACATCACCATGGTCATTTGAAGCTTGTTCTAATGTATCGTAAGTGTTTTCTTCCGTTACAACTGGACTGACGTAGGTATCTGGACGATTATTATATCTATAACCAGGTGCTTCTCTAGCTGGTTGAGGTGGAGGCTTTCTAAAAAGAAATATTCAAGAATTCATGACCAAACTGTCAATCACTAATTAATGGATAGAAAGTAGTACTTTGGTGCATTGATCAAATAAAAAGCTGCAGTAACATTAAACTTTAAAGGAACACAATTTAAGGGAGTTAAATGATTTACATATTGAAAAGATCTGTAAAACACCGCCATATATTTATTATACGCACTACATTTTAATACATAAGATTATTTTTTATTTGAAAAAAAAACACATAAAAGCACCTAAAACACAAGTAATAATTATAGTCAAATGGGAACATACAATACCTTTTGATGTAATAACAGAAGCCGATAATACCAATCAGCCCTGTGACTACTATCCCAAACAAAGCTCCTATAATACCACCAACCACAGGGCTTATACCTTCAGATGCACTCTTTTCAGGTTTATCTTAAAATTCAAATGTATATAGAATAAAGTACAAATCTAAATGATACAGTTGCATCTAGTTACAGTTGTAAGGTTTACTACGTCATTTGGCGCTAAATTTGGGATGAACTATTAATTTTATAGCAATCAATTATCAATTGACATAAATTTACGTTAGCAGTATCAGAGTTATAAATGAAATGAGATTTAACATTCCACTTCTCTGCAGCGACTGGGCATAAGCCATAAGTGTGATATGGGGGACATTTGACGAATTCGAATTCCAACTGCCACGCTCTTTCGTCCCACCCGAACCACTATGCACTATGCCTTGCCAGACTCCCCCCCCCCTTGCTGAAAAGGGAGAACCAGGCAGGAAAATTCAGATGAACTTTCTCGGCCATCACCATGATCCAACACGGGGCCTCCAGGTTCGCGAGCCAACGTCCTAGTCACTGAGCGACCCGACACGGACTCGAGTATATATTTTACTGCAATATACTAGTACCTTGGGAACAGTCGCTTCCTGTCTTTCCGGTTTGACATCCATCCGAACAACTTCCTGTCATCTGGTCACATACACTAATAAAAGAATCATCCGGTGTATTACAGTTAAAACTACAAATTTCATTACACGATGTTCCCCATCTTCCATCTTTACATTCAGTACAAGAGTTATTATCATCTTGTTTACAATGAATACAATTATCATTACAGTACTTATCACAATATTCTCCACTTTTACCTTTAATACATCCATTAATACAGGTACCATTATATCTATCACATCCACTATTACATGTAATATTACAATTCATATCACATCTATCACCATATCTTCCCATAATACAACTGGTACATCTACCATTTCTATTACATGTTATATTGCCTGTGATTGGTTGACATCCACTACCACATGTTGAATTACAATATGGACCTACTGTATTAGGTCTACAATCAGTACAAGTGCCGTTAGATTTATCACACCCTCTAATACAATTACTTACGCATTTAGATGCACAGTTTGTACCATACCAACCGGTTGTACAAACAGAGCAAGACCCATCTAATTTAATGCATGTGTTATATAAGCAACCCTCATTACACTGACTTTTACAGTTTTGACCGTACCAACCTGGATAGCATGCTCTACATTGTCCTGTAGTCTTGTTACAGTTGCCTACACAGTTAGTTATATCACATGATGAATTGCATCTTGCATCAAACCAACCAGACGTACAGACAGGACAAGTTCCATCTGATTTAGAACAGGTATGATCTACACATCCATTACTACAGTTCTGTTGACAGTCATCACCATATTTACCTTGTTGACAATTCTCACATATATCTCCAGTAAAACCTGATTTACATGTACAGGTACCATTATCTTTATTACAGTTATTGTTTGTACAACCATTACTACATCTATGTTGACAGTTTGTACCATAAAAACCTGGTTTACATTCAAAACACTCTCCTGTATTTATGTTACAGTTACCTATACAGTTATCAACTGCACATGTCTGTTGACAGTTTGTACCATAGAAACCTGGTTTACATTCAGAACACTCTCCTGTATTTATGTTACAGTTATCTATACAGTTATCAGCTGCACATGTCTGTTGACATGTTGTACCATAGAAACCTGGTTTACATTCAAAACACTCTCCTGTATTTATGTTACAGTTACCTATACAGTTATCAACTGCACATATCTGTTGACAGTTTGTACCATAGAAACCTGGTTTACATTCAGAACACTCTCCTGTATTTATGTTACAGTTACCTATACAGTTAGTTACTGTACATGTCTGTTGACATATTGTACCATAGAAACCTGATGTACATGTACAGGTACCATTATCTTTATTACAGTTATTGTTTGTACAACCATTACTACAGCTCTGTTGACATGCTGTACCATAATAACCCTGTATACATGTATTACAATTACCAGTGGTTGAATTACACAATCTATCTTTACAGTTAATATTACATCGATTCTCACAGTCTTCACCATAATTACCATCTGGACAACCACCTGTAAATGAAAATTGTTAGCTATTTGATATCAATTCCAGTTTAAACAAGTTTACACTGCAAGTCAACTTCCAAACTTCACAAACCACTCTTGTTGAAACACAGGAGAATAACATGTTTATGTACAGTCCTCATTTGAGAAATGGTATCAGGTGTTCTTGAAGAACAATTATACCCTAATAATTATTGGGTGAAAGACCATCTAGAGGGGAGTTTTGGGCTACTGCCTGTGCGCCATTTGTAAGCAATATGAACCGCTTGCAATATTGTGGAGGTTGAATCTGTAATAGGAGAATCAGTCCGAAATGGTGCAATTCCATTCAGCATTTACAAAGATAAGTGGAATTTAAATTTCAACAATCTATGCTGCACGAGCGTAACTATACGCCGCCATTTTTATCGGTAGCGGAGATTGCCCTATAGTTTATATCCGATTGAATGCAAGCCGGGAGATTACCTAGCATTGGTATTTTGATTTTGTTTTCTGAATTAAATGTTAAATAGTCAATCCGAGTACATATTTAGCGTGTGTTAAGCAATGAGAAATTTGATATTTTAGCGAAAATACAAATGGCGAATCGGGACATTAAATTATTACATTGTGGGCTCTAGATGTAATAAAAACTCTTAAAGTGCATTGTGTTGTGCCGAAGTGCTTATCAATTCCGACATTTTGTTATCACGTTTAAATAATAAAATCAGTTTAATTTACCCTTAAATACTTGTACTTCACACAGTGTAAGAGCTTGATTTGGTTTATTTTGAATAAAAACAAATCTACCAGATAAAGATGTTGATGATGTTTGGTTACATTGTGTTATGTTATACACTGGATGGTTTTGTGTTGAAGTATCTGTATAACATGGTGTAGCTAATGTAAATCCTGTTTGATTGCACGGACCTGTATTACTCAACTTCATTGTAAATCCTCGAAGTCTATCTTGTGCTGAAATATATAATACGCTAAATATATAGTTTCCCTTGGTTCGTTAAATTTATTTAGCACAATTTGTTCGTCATGTCGTGTGATAATATATATTTTTTACAAAATTCATTTCGAGAGCAATTTGTTCAGGCTAATAAGTGATAAACTACAGTAAAGTTTAATACCCGGACACAATTAACCATTTTTTAATTGAATTCCAGATACATCCAGGTAATTACATACATATTGTTGGCTATGGTGATTCTACATTAAACATGCATTATGAGAAATGACAGTTGGCGTTATAATACTTGCAAGATATACAATGAAAAAGGAATATTTTGAAAACTCCATTCTGAGATGAGTTATTGTCGACTGCAGAACAGTGTAGTCGCAATTGTCATTGCTACCGTTAATTTACGATAACACGCAAAGTCTCGGTTATTCAATTTTAAATTAAATTATTAACCGCAAGTCGTATTTAAAACCGTTGAATATCTGAAGTATCCGATGGGCGAGGGTTGATTATGGTCTTGTCAAGTCAATAAATGTCTAATTGATAACTTATATAACATTTGAATACTGCCCCTGTAATATTTTAACAATGTTAATTATTCAATACACCATCATACATTAAATTATATTCATTCTACTTACATCCATCTCTGTTATATAGTTTAATGTTGTTAATAATATAGACATGTTGTAGATCAACACACCACCATTCATTGGCACCGGTACCAGTATGAGTACAGGAAAGATGGTTAAAATCACTATCAGTTTTATTATCTACAGCATGAAATGAATCACCGCTTACTTGTGGTGAAGAACTCTGTACAGTTGTTTTGTTTATAGCAACATTCCTGAAAGCTGTAATATAACGTGAAATGAAATGAAATGGGGTTTAATGTCCTCCTGGGCTAATGAAGATGGGCATACGCCATACAGTGTGCTATGAAGGAAAGTGGCACTATGGCCTATTCTTGTATCGAAATGCAATTACCAAGGGATCTTTTACGTGCATGTCAATGTATACACGGGACCTCGGTTTTCTCCCACAGATGGAGGAGGTGGTACGTTTGTCCACCCCGAGAACATTTTGAAAATTGGACGGCCGCAAACGCGTTTTTCAGCCCAGAAAATCTTTCTCTAGCGAAGTCTCATTGGGCAAGACAGTACAAAATATCGGGAAGATAGATATTAGAACATAACCAATAATATGCAATGTATACATCATCTTTATTATGGATTTGTTTTATAAAAAAAAAAAACTCTAACAACGTAGCATTTTTTATATCATTTAAAGTGATTAATTTCTAAAAAGAATTTAGAAAAGCCCAAAATGACAACTGTTCCTAGGCGGGACTGGGTGTCAGGTCCCACGTTACCAATTCAATGCTCCACTATGATCCCTGACTGCCGTCTGTTATAAACAGTAGGTATTTTAGAACTCTGGTCTGTAACATTTGGGGGGGGGGGGGGGGGGTTGGTGGCCGAATGGTTAGCACGTTCGCGCTGTATCATAAGGCCTGTCATTGAGTCAACTGGCGTTGTTTCGAATCCCCGGTTGTACGTGACAAGGAGTAGGGTCGCCTGTCCAAGCTTGTGGGTTTTCTCCGGTTCCTCCGGTTTCCTCCCACTGCTAAAGGCCCCTACGCGCAAGCGAATTATTGAAATAAAATTAGACCATATGTTAGTCCCGAAATGACCTAGTTTATGTCGAGTGGACGTTAAACCCCGTTTTTTTTTCTCTCTCTCTCTCTCTCTCTCTGTAACATTTTTTCGGGGGGGGGGGGGCAAATCATTTTCGCCGCACCCCCTCCCCCCTAAAGGGTGAGCCTGTTACTCACACAGGGCATATTTTTTTTCTCCTGCATTCATCGAAATACCGTCGAACAAACAAACGTGCGAAGCATTGCCGGCACTTTGTTCTCTACCCGCTCTAATCCTATACATTTATGCAACGAAATGAGCAGAAATAATTTATGGTCTTCTGATTCAGGGGTAAATTGTGTTCAGTTAATACGAACAATCATTGTGCTTATTTGGTTCGGTCCATTTTAAATGTCATTCTAGACTTTTGGAAAATAACAATAACAAAGCTGGGTGAAGGAACATCTTAAAAACTCTATGCGCGAGAAGAATAATTTGAAAAAAGTATGAATGGAAACTGTTGTTAAAGCAAAAACGTAGGTTATATGCATTGGATTTATAGTTCGTTGGGAACCCACGATGGCTCAGTGGGTAAGACGTTTACACGCTTACCCGGAAGTCCCGTGTTCAACCCTTGCATTGACCTAGAAAGTTCATTAGGATTTTCTTCCTTGTCAGTACCACTGACTCAATTATGCAGGACTGGGGCGTGGCAGGAGACAACGTATAGTCGTTCGGATGGGACGAAAAACCGAATGCACATTAAAAATCCCTCGACAGTTGGAATTCGATATAAGAGTAGGCCGTAGCGATGTCTCGGCAAAATTTCCCTCTAGCACACTGTATGGCGTATGCCCGTCTGCATTAGCCCAACGAGTATAACGCAAAAACTCCCTAAAGCACAATGATGTCAATATATGAATGGGTAGACTATTTGCGAAAATTCACACGAATATAAAAAATAAAAGATTGGTGTCATTTTACACGTTGAGTCTTTTGTAATATACAGACCCTATTATTTGCATAAATTTGATTTCGGTTGGTCTGGTCGGGGTAATGAAAAGTTCAAATGCAAATTAAAAACACGCATATCAGAATAACCAATGCTAAACTCCATTGTGTCATTTTTGAAATGTTTGTGAATTTAAAAACAAATGCATTAAAAAATATGCTTTACTCGTCATTAGGTTTAATATTCGAATATTAAAAAATGCCGAAACATGCACCTTCCTCATTGCTAATTATAAATACAAGTAAATAAAACTGTTATACAGTACCCACGGTGTTAAAACGCGATTATTGGAGTAAACATCGTCTCGATGTATCATTTTAGCGCTCTTGCAAGCTACAATATTGTGAAAGATGAGTCTCTAATAGGAATATCAGTCCCAAAATGGTCAAATTGAATCAATTAATTGACGGATCAAAGTTCCTTTGATATTTATTGACGGTTCGTCAATTAAATTGGCAGTGCATGCTAGGGCCAGAGATGCTTTCATCTTGAAGTTTTCGATCAGAATGAAAATTGACGCTAAAACACTGATCGTGTGTGGGCAAGGTCAATTTTGTCAACGTGTATGGGCCGCTTTAGTATGTTGATTTTGTTTTCTTAATTAAATAATTAATGCTGGGTACATATTAGCGTTGATTAAGCCGTTGGTATTTTAGCCGTGGGTAATGGCTCATCGTTACTTTAAGTCAATAAAAAGTAATCTGATTATTTTGTCTTATGTGTCTATGTTGACATGGATTTGCTCCAATAATATTGAATATCGTCTGCTTACATCTACATGAGCAGATTTCCTGCGTTCTATTTCATTCACAAATTATAAAGCGTTAAACTGCTCGGCCAAAAAGCTTCTACCTATAAAATGGGCAATTGGATCTTTGACCCAAATAGAAGGGGTCTAGACATTTTAGATTTGGTTTTGTAGATAAACAATTTAACATACGATAATTCATGTGCAACATTTATCTACAACATTGGCCCACCAACCATACGTAGCAAATATTATCTCTTTATCAAAATTGAAGCTTCGATCTTTTTATCATTGACCTATATTTCTAACAGATATTTTTTAAAAAAATAATATGACGTATTTATGTTAGAGAGGCAAATATATAAATAAAGGTATTGTTGAGAAATAAACAAATAAAATGAAATGGAGTTTAAAGTCCTACATTTTTGCTTCAACCGTTCTAATGAAGATGGGCATATGTTATGAGGAAAATTTTACCTGGACAGTGGCAATACGACTTTGGTTTCGAATTCCAACTGTCAAGGAAGGGAATTGTTATGTAAATAAAAGGAATGAAATTTAACGAATAATTGTCATAGTACACACCGTCGATGTCGATGCACTGTTTGTTCGGATGGTACGAAAATCTGGGCATCTATCATA